AACTTGTTTTTAAAAATTTCCCATGTACTGCTGGGTCAAATTGTATTTCAAAGTTGCCTTAAAATTGAAGAACATTCAACCAGTAGTACTTCGCTGAAATCAATAATCCTGTCCATAGCTACTTTTTCCCCAATCCGATCCTAGGCAATGGGTAGTGTCAGCACTAGAGTAAATGCAGCTTGAAGTACTGACACTTCAATTTATTTGAGATGACCTCGAAACTTGACAGATAGGCTATGAACTATTGGCAATTGTCACTGCCACTTCTGACAAACTGACCAGAGGTGGGTTTCAGCAGGTTCTGACCAATTCTGGAGAACCAGTAGCAGAAATTTTGAGTAATTCGGAGAACCGGTAAATACCTCCTCTGACTGGCCCCACCCACATCTATTCTCTGCCTCCCAAGTCCCAGCTGATAAGGAGGAAATGGGGATTTTGCAGTAACCTTTCCCTGGAGTGGAAGAGAATGGAGATTTTACAGTATCCTTCCCCTGCCATGCCCACCAAGCCATGTCACGCCCACAAAGCCACGCCCACAGAACCAGTAGTAAAAAAATTTGAATCCCACCACTGAAACTGACTAAATACTGAAATGTGTACATGTGATTTCTGGGGCCCTCTGTCGATCCTTGGCAGGATTCCTGAGATATATAGGTAGCAGAAAGAAAAGTAGGAAAAAAGAGAGAGGGGAGAGAGAGAGAGAGACTATCAGACAAATAAGTATGGGAGAAAATTGTTCATTTAATGAGAACTTAAATAATTTACTCATACAATTTATTTAAATAATTTGGGAACTGAAACACAGTTATTTGTACTGTGCACCACACATTTTTTTTCCAGACTTCATCCCTGTGATACTCTATGGAAGTGAAAGTTACCCTTTGAAGAAGCAGGATAACAACAGCAATAGCACTTAGACTTATATACCGCTTCACAGTGCTTTTACAGCCCTCTCTAAGCGGTTTACAGAGTCAGCATATTGCCCCCAACAATTTGGGTGCTCATTTTACCAACCTCGGAAGGATGGAAGGCTGAGTCATCCTTGAGCCTGTGAGATTTGAACTGCAAAATTGCAGGCAGCTGGCAGGCAGCAGAAGTAGCCTGCAGTACTGCATTCTAACCACTGCGCCACTTCGGCTTGGAAGAAAATAGATGGTTTTGAACTTTGGTGTTGGAGAAGCTTCCTGAGATTACAGTGGATAACCAAGAAAACAAACAAATGGATCATAGTACAAATTAACTCAGAATTCTTACTCAAGGCACAAATAACCAGGCTCAAATTATCCTACTTTAGCTATACAGTAGTGGCCAAAATTGTGGAAACCTTTTTGGAAAAGTGTATTTTTGAGGTTTGATGGCTAATAACACCACTTTTTGGGGGGAGTTTCAAGATAATCATATTCCACCACTGGAATGGCCTGGGAATAGCCCAGGCCTTAACCCAATTGAAAATTTATGGAGCCGACTAAAGAAACTTGTTAGTCAGAAGCAACCCAGCAATAAAACCCAGTTAATAGAAGCAATCATTCAATCTTGGTTTCACATTATAACAGCTGCAGAACTAAAAGTCTTGGTTCACTCCATGGGAAGACTTTGTAAGGCCATAATTCATGCTAAAGGTTACCAAACTAAGTATTAATTTTTGTATATCTCATTTTTTCTATGTGTTTCACTTTTCTACTTTATACTGTAACTGCTATACCTTCATAAAAGGTAATTGCATTGCATTCTTGATTAAATTATCTTTCCATTAATATATAATTTTATGGTACTACTCCAAATTTTAGAACATACACTTTTCCCAAAAGGGTTCCACAATTTTGGCCACTACTGTATTATGCAAAGGCATAGCTCCCTGGTGTTAATTCTAATTCAGGGACAGGTAAAAGGAAAGAGAAGAGGATGACTAGCAGCAGGGTGGGTGGACTTAGTTAGTGTTTTTCAACCTTGACAACTTCAAGAGGCATGGACTTCAACTCCCAGAATTCTCCAGCCAGCTATGGGAGTTGAAGTCCACACCTCTTAAAGTTGCCAAGGTTGAAAAACACTGGACTAAGTTACAGTGATAATGAATGCACCATTAGAAACATAGGTCAGGAAGAGAAGGTCACGGGGAAAAAACTGTGGAGGTCTCTAAGAGTCAACAACTTGATGGTAGATAATCTGTCATGTAATTTGTGTCAAAGTAATTTGTGAAATTGCCACCAATGATGTTCGGTTGGTTCGATTCATATTCTTCTGAGCAGACAACAAATTGATGCAAATAATACAGTTTTGCATTTAATTGTCATTTGGAGTTAATGGAACCCCTATCTCCCAAATGATCCATTGCATTCAAATATTACTGATTTTATGAAAATAAGATATGTATAAAGATATAGATTCTGCTATAAAATTATAGATTCTGCTACAGGGAAAAGAGTGTAAATCTATTTCTCCCTAGTGTCTGAGTGTCCCTAGTGTCTGAGCCTAAGACAAGGACCAATGACTTTTATAGAGAGAGATCTAAATTCAAGGGGCCCATAGGAAGGCCTTCTCTGCTGTTGCTCCTGTCCTCTGGAAAATCTTGCTCCCTGATGTGAGGTTGGCCCCAACCCTCCTATCCTTTCCTAAGGGCCTAAAGATGTGGCTCTGTCAGTTGGCTTGGGGCCCCAATGAAGGAGCAGCAACGTAGAAATGGATGATTGAGTAACAACAGTTCCCACTTTCCCCTATTCTGCCCCCGTCTTCCCCACATGTCCTTAAATTTTAATGTTTTATTTTAATTTATTTATTTTTAATGTATAAACATACTTTAATGACTGTAAGCTGCCCAGAGTTACCTTATGTTAACCAAGATGGTTGGCCAATAATTTTTTATTAAAAAAATAGATAATAAATAAAATAAGGAGAACGCTCCTGAGCATGAGATGTTATGCAGCAAGGTTGCCTTCTGGGGTCATGAGTACTTCATCATTTAAGATTTAAAAAAAATGTTGGATATCCGTTTGTCTGGAATGAGTCTGTGTTTCCTGCTCTGCAAAGGAGGTTGGACTAGAAAAACTCAACAATCTATTCCAATTCTAGGATTCTATGAGTTGCTTGATGGGTGAATATAGGGGTGTTAGACCATACATATTCAAAAATGGGAGCACACAGAAGAAGTGATGAAATGTATGTCACAACATTGCAACCCAAATTCTACCCCTTACACAATTGTAAATAATATCCTAATGTAAGTTACCAAAGAATAGAAGATGGTTAGAGACAGAGCTATGGATGAAACCTCTTTAAGTATGGCCAGACATGTCGCTTTTTTTTACTCATACTATCATTACAGAAGCTCCTGGTGATGGACTTCAATTCCATCTATGAGGCATAAAGAGCTCCATATGGACCCACATCAGTGGTGGGTTCCTCCCGGTTCTGCCTGGTTCCGCTGAGCCGGTAGCGGTGACAATATGACATCACTGAACCGGTTCTGCCCCCCACCCCACCCCAGGGTTATTCTTACCTTTTATTTGGCCCCACCCCCAATCTATTGCTGCCTCCTGAGTCTCAGCTGATGGCTAGAGGGAAAAAACCTGTTTAAACTCTTGCCGCGGGGCTTCAAAGGGCCGCCCTACAGTTGATCAGTGTTAAAAGAAAACAAAGGAGTAGACTGGTGCCTGCAAAAATAAATGGGTAGACTGGTGCCTCCAAAAATAAATGGGTAGATTGGTACAGCTCTGCAAGCAGTTAAAAGCCTGGTAGACCAGTACCTCTGCTAAATCCTAAATAATTGTCACATGACCATCAAGCCATGCCCACAAAATAAGCCACACCCACAGAACCGGTAGTAAAAAAATTTAGAACCCACCCCTGACCCATATCCTACCTCCAATTATAGGGCTAACATCTACATGTATTATCTCAGTTTGTGCTATTGTTGCTTTTGCTCAAAAGGAGATAATATAGTACCAGTGCCGGGACATCATAATGCCAGGAAGAAGTCATTATGACACTCACCCATCCCCAATTTTATTAGATTAGTTTTTATAATATAAAATAGTCTGGAATGCTATAAAATGAAACTTTAATCTTTAACCACACATTTTATTTTCATGGTATGCTTTTCTTATACACCCTATAGACCAGGGGTGAAATGCTCCCGGTTCGGACTGGATCACCTGATCCGGTAGCGATGGAGGTGGGTGGTTCGGAGAACTGGTAGCAAAAATCCCTGCCCCCCCTCATGCGCAGCTGAGCCGCACAATCATTAGAGCCTTTTTTTTTTACTTTTAAAAGCATTTTTTCTACAACCTCTTCAGCCGAAAAAATGCTTTTAAAAGTTAAAAAAAAAAGCCTCTGCTGATCACGCAGCTCAGCTGGGATCATCAAAGGCATTTAAAAGAAAAAAAGCCTCTGCCGATCAAGCAGCTCAGCTGGGATCATCAGAGCCTTTTGAAAGCATTTTTTTACAACCTCTTCGCCAAAGAGGTTGTAGAAAAAATGGTTTTAAAAGTAAAAAAAATAAAAAATGGCCACGCCCACCCAATCACATTACCCCCCCACCAAGCCACGCCCACAGAACCAGTAGTAACAAATTTTAGATTTCACCCCTGCTATAGACATTTGCAAAAAATGGAAATGATGGATGGCTGCAATCCCATTTTATTTGGAAATGTGCCAATAAAAAGACAAAAGTGGTAGGTATCTTAAGAGATGGATTTAAATAGGATGTTGGGATATAAACTGGTCTGCTGGAAGGAAGTCTGAAGTATAGAATGGAAATTGCAGGGATCACACTTACTGTTGGCCACTTCCGACTTGTTGCAACCTAATGGCCATCACTAGTTTGCTACTGGTAAGTGGATGTTTTGTCGGTCCCCGTGATAGACTCTCAAACCTCCCATTGCGCTCACTGGTCCAAAAATCTTTCTATTTTGAATTTTGCTAATTTATTTTACACAGGACACCAGCAGCTCTGATAACTCCTTCTCACTTCACGGCACAAAATATGGAAACAGTTGGCTTGCAATGTTGTGAAGAGAGGCTCCAGCTGACTGTGGCTTGCTTTCTCAGCAAAATGGTGCAATTACAGCTCCCCATCTGTGACCCTATCTCTCTAAGTAAGATGCTTCTGGTGTGCTTTGAGAGGGTGAATGAATTAAATTGCTTGGGTAGACCAAATCTATGGGTCATGATGAATGTTTCAGGGGAATGACTTTGAAAGTATAAACTCTTGAACTGAGCCCCGAAATTCTTTTTGCTGTGATTTGTATAAACATTTTACATCCTGCAAACTTGTGCTCCTACTAGGCTGAGATAAGATTAACTTATGGAGTTTGGAGCTTGGAGCTTGGAAGTGGGCAGAAATAGCTTTGCTTATAACCTTCAAGCATGTTTTCACTCCTTTTCAGCAGACCATTTTACATTTTATCTGCAGAAAAGCAATATCCTGTTGTAACATTAAAGGGTTGCTGGGAAATTTAATAAAGCCAATGTAACACTGGCATCAACTTCAACTTAAAGCCTGGCATTTAACTGGCTCAGCCATGTCTATGGGGAAAAAAAAGTGATAGCTATTGATCTCTCACTACGACTTTTCAGCGCACTAAACAGAATATTGCAGGACAACCTGATATTCAATAGAAATGCTAATGTCAGGTCTTCATTTAGGTTTGAAGGAAGACCATATCTAATGCACAGAGAGGGTATTATTAGCATTGCCTATATTAGAGTACAGGAGTCCTCGACTTACAACAGTTCATTTAATGACCATTCAAAGTTACAAAAGTACTGAAAAAAGTGACTTATGACCGTTGTTCACACTTGCGACCATTGCAGCATTCCCATGCAGCATTCAGATGGTGACAACTGTCTCATATCTATGGCTGTTGCAGTGTCCTGGAGTCACGTGATCAGCTTGTGTGACCTTCTAACAAGCAAAGTTAATGGGGAAGCCAGATTTCCTTAGCAACCATGTTACCAGCTTAACAAATGCAATGATTCACTTAATAACCGGCAAAAAAAAAGTTGTAAAATGGGGCAAACTCGCTTTACAAACGTTTCCCTTGGCAACATAAATTTTGGGCTCAATTGTTGTCGTAACTTGAAGACTACCTGTACAGAAAAAATTAAACAATAGAAAGGACTAATCTTCTAGTACAGAAGCAAGTTGATGGCTAATTAGTAATGCTGACAACAAGACTTTCTGAAAGGCAATTTTACACTTAAAGAGCTAGATCTGCTCTGTATTTGTGTGTGTTTGTGTGATCTATCTCAGGATGACCTAATGAACACCCTTGGAGAACAGTAATTACTGGAACATACTACCTTTTCCTCTGATGAAACATTAATATCTTGACATGTTCAGCCTGACTTCATGGCATGGGACCAGGATATCTGAGGAACTACATCTCCCCTAATTACTTTAATTTATATGTTTATTACTTTTATACCTTTCTTGCTATGCACCGCCCAGTATCATTTCTTGTGAGATGGGTGGTACAAAGTTTTGATAAATCAATGTTGCCATTATTATTTTGCTTCTATCAGCAGCACAATGAAGAGAGGTGAGTGGCTGTTCACTGCTCCTCCCATGTTGAATTTAACATGTGAAGGACTTCTTTCTTCTCCAAGTTAAACTCTAGGTTCTTCTTTCACAGTCAGTCCTTCACAGCCTGGAGAAGTCCATAGGCTTTGAAAGAACATCGCCAAAAAGGCATTAAGGGTTGTAAACCTAATTTTGCATAGCTTCTTCTCCAGTAATATTACACTACTAACCAGAGCATACAAAATATTTGCTAGACCAGTTCTCAAATACAGCTCATCTGTCTGGAATCCGCACTGCAAATTGGACATTAATACAATTGAACGTGTCCAGAAATATTTCACAAGAAGAGTCCTCCACTCCTTTGCTCGCAACAAAATACTTTATGCCACCAGACTAAACCGCCTTCGGTATGACCTAAGCATAGCTCATAAAATCATCTGCTACAACCTGTCAATGAGTACTTCAGCTTCAAGCACGACAATACACGAGAACAAAATAGATACAAACTTAAAGTGAACCGCTCCAAACTCGATTGCAGAAAATATGACTTCAGCAACAGAGTGGCCAATGCCTGGAATGCACTACCTGACTCTGTGGTTTCATCCCCAAACCCCCAAAAACTTTAACCTTAGACTGTCTACTGTTGACCTCACCCCATTCCTAAAAGGTCTGTAAGGGGCGTGCATAAGAGCACCAGCGTGCCTACCATCCCTGTCCTAATGTTTCCTCTATTCATATCTATTTTATGTATTCAATTCATGCTTATACTTATATATATTATCTAATACGTACTCGACAAGATAAATAAATTAAATAAATAAATAAGTAAAAATGTAAACTGCAAGCATTGGGTTAATGTTGCCAGAGCCTGAGCGTTCATAATAGCTTCTCTTTTATCTTATCTCTGTGCTCTGCAGCTTTTCTACTGTTAATGAACCTCAATTTTAATATGCCAAGTGGCCCAGTGTTAATCTCCTGAGAAAGGGCAACAAACAAGTCAAGCTATTCCTCCCCACAGACCCACTCTTCTGGCCCTCTCATTCCAAAAAACCAGTAGCACATCAATCTGATAAAAATGTAAGTAGCTGAAGGAAGGTGAAGGCAGACTTTGGCCTCTTTAAACTGTCATGGCTGTATTTACTTTAGCTTTTGAAATCTTCCCAAAATGTCCATTTATCTTCTTTCAGATCTGTGGAAGACAGTTCTAGAATCCAACACAACATTCACATAGAATGATATTTAATACAAAACGACAGGTTTTTTTTTTTTTTTTTGCCAATTCCAGAGGTGAGAGGATAAACTCTATTAACAACTACTTCAGACGAGCGAAGGGGAGAAAAGGTTTTTCTTGCCACAGCAAAAGATTTAATCCACGCTATTTAGAATCTTAACATTTTGCTGAAGGAAAGTTAGGAGAACCAAAAGGAGTCTAATTCTCGGGATTAACCCTGAAATGTCTTTCCACTGTTTAATGTCGTTGTTCTTATTCTTGTTAGCATAAATTGTGGTTGCCAATCAGATTGTAAAGGCTCAGAAAGTAAGGAATCCACTTTATTATTCCATTTCTTTATTTTTTTTTACATTGTTAACAAAATTCACAGGAAAAAAAATAGTGTAACAAATACTGTAAAACTATCAATCAGCTCTATTAAGGGTATAAAAATAGCAGTCAATTAAAACATCATTCAGTTCAATATGGCCCAAAGCACAGCAAAAACAAACCAGATCTATAGGATAAACATTAAATAAACAAACAGAGGCTTGCTTGTTGACAAATGGTCAATCAGTAGTTTCAGTGTTTGAGCATAACCAAACTAACAGTGGTTCTTTCCAAAACCAGTAATAAATGCACAACAATGTATGGCAGGAGAAAGATTTCTACAGAAGATCTCAACTCAACAGCAAGTTTGTATGGTTCTGATAGCAGGCCGGGAAAACCCAGAGCAGGGTGGAGCCTATTAAATGTCTAGTATGAATATGTATTGGTGGGAGTTGCAGGGTTATTTTATTATTTTTCTTTTTATTCTTTTTTTTATATATAAATTGTATTTTTATGTCGTTGTAAGCCGCCTTGAATCGCCATGTGAGAATAGGCGGCAATATAAAATATAAAATAAATAAAATATAAAATAAATAAAAAAAAACAAGGGGGCCACAATTAGATGCTTCTTGACCATCTCGATTTTTTTGACCTTCTAACGGTAAATACTGGAATGACGTCACTGTAATAGAGTTTAAAATATGCTGGTTTAAATGATCGTTCTTAAAGCAGCAGCATCTTTATTCTGGCTTGCACGAAAAATGTGCGTCTCTTAATGAATAGCAGGAAATTGCTTATCCCTTAATCAGTGGTGGGATTCAAATAATTTAACAACCGATTCACTCAGGGTCAGATTGGCTGTCGTAGGAGGAGTGGTCCCTCCCCACCCTCCAGCTCCGCTGCACATGCGGGACGAGCGTCCCACGACGGCCAACCTGACCCTGGGCGAACCAGTTGTTAAATTACCCCCTCGCTATCAAAGTGGATCCTGGGCGCTGCACAGCAATGGAAAAACAGGAAACAGAGCAGCCAACACAAAAGGGAAGGAACAGGGAGAAGAAAGAGGGAAAGCAGCCTTCTTCCCTCGCGCCAGCTGCTCCGTTGCCCATTTCTCCATTGCAGCACAGTGTCTAGGATCCACTTTGATAGCAGGGTGGGGTGGGTGATTTAACAACTGATTTGCCCGAACCGGTGTGAACTGGCTGAAACCCACCACTGCCCTTAATTTCTTTCAAATTGGAAGAAGAATTCCAAATTGGAAGAAGAATTCTTCCAAACATTTCTTCCAAATTGTTTTCAATTTGGATGTAAATCTGTATTGTCTGCACAACATTATAGTTTCCATTGTTCTGTTCCTTAATTTGGCCTTCCTTAATTGCTCCTTAATTTGACTCCTCTGCTCCTTACTTTGTCTAGATCATCTGGCCTCGCCTGGGACTCCCTGGGTGTCTTGGATTACAATTCTATCATATCATTTTGAAGGCCATACTGATTGAGAATGATGCTATGGCTGACCATAGATGAACAGAAGAATTTCTCTCTTTTTAATGAAGAAAAGCCTAATTGTAAGTGAGATTGTACAGTACCATATACAGGTAGTTCTCAATTTACGACCATAATTGACCCTGGAATTATAATAGTAAGTCATTGCAGTCATACGTTGAGGCACCTACAAGACTGGAAGTAATTTTCTAGCCTTTTTCATGTTAAGCAAATGCCATAGTCATTAAGCAAACATGGTGCTCATTAAGCGAACACCACAGTTGTTAAGTGAAACTATTCATTTGAATGGGTATTTTTTTTGTCAAAAAAATATCACAAATATGTGACAGTAGAATGCTGTAAAGCTGACATGCAGTCATGTAGCTTGGGAGGGAAGCACGATCATTTATAACAGTTGGGAGTGTTTTATGAATCATAATCAATGGTGGGTTTCAAAAAAATTTACTACCGGTTCTGTGGGCATGGCTTAGTCGGCATGGCATGGCTTGGCGGGTGCTTGGTGGGCATGGCAGGGGAAGGATACTGTAAAATCTCCATTCCCACCCCACTCCAGGGGAAGGATACTGTAAAATCTCCATTCCGTCCCCAATCCAGGGGAAGGTTACTGCAAAATCCCCATTACCTCCTTATCAGCTGGGACTTGGAAGGCAGAGAATAGATGGGGGTGGGGCCAGTCAGAATTTTTACTACTGGTTCTCCGAACTACTCAAAATTTCCACTACCGGTTTTCCAGAACTGGTCAGAACCTGCTGAAACCCCCCTCTGGTCATAATGCACCCATTCCATGACTGCTGTAACTTCAAACAACCAAAGAAAGATTGGTCATTAAATAAGGACTACTTGTATGAGGCAAAGCTTGTTCAGAGATTGATATTTTGAGGGTTAGATGTACACATGTTACAGAAGGTGCTTTAACATGCCCAGTAGAGGAGACTGTAGTACATCTTTACATAAATGAAACTTTTCTCAAAAGAAGGTTATTGTTAGGAAGTTTGTTCTAAATTTCCCTGCAAATTTGGCTTCGTGCATCCTAATTAAATATCCTGGACTCTTCAAAGAAAAGGTGCTGCGTTCCTCTTGACGGTATCCATTTTGTTTCTTGAAGAATACCTCTACATTCCTTCTCTGTCTTCTCAAGTCTAAAGATAGACAGCGGTCTCAATCTCTCCTCATAAATCTGTTTGTTTCTAACCCCATGACCATCTACAAAGCCTACAAAACAAGGGGTCTCAAAAATTGACTGGCAGCAATTGTCTAGCATTTCAGAAACAGGACCTTCTTTTCCTACTTTGCTAGAATATATTAAGGCCTGGGACATCCTTCCCATAAAGTAGTTTAGTTTAGTTTAGTTTTATTAAATTTGTATACCGCCCTACTCCCGAAGGACTCAGGGCGGTAAACAGGCACAAGATAAAATACAGAAATACAAAAGTTAAAAACAATTTAAAACCAAATTAAATAATATTGGCCCACGACAATTAAAATCCCAATAAATTTAAAACAAATTAAAATTTCAATTTAAAATTTAAAAGAAAGGGGAGAAAAATTAGGCCAGGCCGGCTTGCTGGAATAAGAGGGTCTTAAGAGCACGGCGGAAGGTGCGCAGATCCGGGATCCTCCATATCTCTGGGGGGAGCTCGTTCCAGATAGTGGGTGCCCCCACAGAGAAGGCCCTCCCCCTGGGGGCCGCCAGTCGACACTGCTTGGCTGATGGCACCCGGAGGAGACCCTCTCTATGGGAGTGTACCGGTCGGTGGGAGGCTATTTGTGGTAGAAGGCGGTCCCGTAAATAACGTCCTAAGGTCCTAAGCCATGGAGCGCTTTAAAGGTGGTAACCGAAACCTTGAAGCGCACACGGAAGACCACCGGGAGCCAGTGCAGCTCACGCAGGAGAGGTGTTACACAGGAGCGCCATGTTGCTCCCGTGACCACCCGCGCGGCTGCACTCTGCGCCAGTTGGAGCCTCCGCGTGCTCCTCAAGGGGAGCCCCATGTAGAGAGCATTACAATAGTCCAGGCGGGAGGTGACGAGGGCATGAGTGACTGTGTGTAGGGAGTCCCGATCCAGAAAGGGACGCAACTGGCAGATCAGGCGAACCTGATGAAAAATCCTCCCGGTCACGGCCGTCAAGTGCTCTTCTAAAGACAGCCGTGAATCCAGGAGGACACCCAAGTTGCGAGCCCTCTCCATGGGGGCCAGCGATTCACCCCCAATAGTCAGCGATGGCGTCAACTGACTATATCAGGACATCGGAAACCACAGCCACTCGGTCTTGGATGGGTTGAGCCTGAGCCTGTTCCTCCCCATCCAGATCCGCACGGCCTCCAGACACTGGGACATCACTTCAAGGGCATCGTTGGGGTGGTCCGGGGTGGAGATGTACAACTGAGTATCATCAGCGTACTGATGGAACTTCACCCCGAAACCACGGATGATCTCGCCCAGCGGCTTTACATAAATGTTGAACAGAAGGGGCGAGAGGACCGACCTTGTGGCACCCCACATACGAGGGGCTTCGGGGACGACCTCTGCCCCCCTGCCAACACAGACTGCAACCGGTCAGAGAGAAAGGAGGAGAACCACCATAGAACAGTGCCCCCCACCCCTAACTCTTCCAGGCGGTGCAGCATGATACCATGGTCGATGGTATCAAAAGCCGCTGAGAGATCTAATAGGACCAGGACAGAGGAGCAGCCCCTGTCTCGAGCCCTCCAGAGATCATCAACCAACGCGACCAATGCCGTTTCCGTGCTGTACCCAGGCCTGAAGCCCGACTGGAACGGATCCAGATATGTCGTTTCATCCAGGTACTGGGGGAGCTGTCGCGCAACCACACTCTCAACAACCTTCGCCACAAAAGGAAGGTTGGAGACCGGACGATAATTAGCCAACACTGCTGGGTCCAGGGAAGGCTTCTTGAAGAGAGGCCTCACCACCGCCTCTTTCAAGGCAGCGGGGAAGTCACCCTCACCCAACGAAGCATTTATAATCCCCTGGAGCCAGCCTCGCGTCACCTCCCAGGAAGCCAGCACTAACCAGGAGGGGCACGGGTCCAATAAACAAGTATATGTTCTATTACAGATTACCTTGATGCCATGTAGTTATATATATCTTGAGTTACTTTCTGTGCTCTAGCTGTGCTTTTGGGAAATTGAACTTTTTTAAAAAAAAATATGATTGTTTTTGCAAACAGATATGGGAGAGTATAAAATAGTGCAAAACAGGGTTGAACCTATTTCACTTAATGCAGTCAATGCACCTGAGATCATGGCAGCTGTCTGAGGTAAGCAGCTGAAACTGCTGACAAGAGAAACAGCTGGATTGCACCTTTCAGCTATGCTCCTGTGGTTATGTGGCTTGTTTTACTGCAGTTAGAAATCAATTCCTTTATCCTCAGTTACCAAAACTTATTTCTGGGATGTTTTAAATATCTCTATTTTCTTTCTCTTGGATTCTTACGAACCTCTGAATGATCAGTGGTGCTGTCAAAATGGAAGGGATCCTGGGCAAAATACCCCATTGTGACATTCAATTACAATCTCAGGCTCTTTTAGAGGCTCTTCTTTGTTTTTAAAATATGCTGTCCATTTTAGGATTTACATTACAGCCTTTACATGTTTCCTATCACATCAGGGCAAAAATTGCATACGAGTTTTCAGCAATCCTGGTCAAAAAAGGCTGTGATGGCTGTATGAAGGAAACTTGGAGAGGTTACTTATCTTTGACATAAAGAATGTATTTCTTAATCTTCAGCCTGAGAAGTTTTTATTGTGTTATGGATATGATTGGTTAATAAAGCATGCTCATAATCTTGCATTGTTGCTCAACTGCCTTTATAGGTTGTAGTTCTGGCAGAGTTGCTGAAGTTAATATTTCTAGAGGTTTCAATAAAGCAAGCAGTAGAAAAGGCTACTCTTGACTGGGGAGTGTTGCTTGATCAACAGAAATAACACAATGTTGGCAATGAAGTATATTCACTTTTTAAAAACCCTTCTCACCTTGTATTTCTGGAGGGAGAAGGGGCGGAGAGAAACAACAACAAAAGAAAGCATAATGCTGAGCTAGTTACAATGAATAAATATTAAAAAAGAAGGGCATAGAAGGATGGCTAGCTTCATTAGCAAGATTAATGTGTTTGATATACCACAGATTAGTGTTCATCAACCTGACTGGGGAATACTGGAAGTTGAAGTCCAGAAACCTTAAAGTTGCCAAAGTTGAGCAACACTGCCATAAATGATTGGACCTTAAACACAAAGTGACTTCAACAGTTTTATGAGGCAAATAAGATAACTGCTGGAAAAAGGGGCTTTATTTTACTGAGTATGGTGAGAGGCAAAGCATAACTGTACTATCATTATTCAGCTTTGCAGAGCTAATAAAAATAATACAAAAACAATTGGCAGCAAAGCCATTACTTTTTGTAGTGCGCTCCAGGTTCTGTAAATTAAACCCCCCCAAAAAAAGGGAAAGTAGATTGCAACACAGACAGCTGAACTTAGAAAAATGTTTGAACATTACACATTTGGCAATTCGGCAAAGATGTAGTGAGAGATTGGCTTGTCTTTTGAATTCTGGAAAAAAAACCGCATTTAGCATTTCAGAGAGCATCAGAAACTGTTGGGGATGCTATAAACCTCCAGTTGGGAGTAAAAATAAATGTAAATAAGCTGGCAATGGCATATAGAGCATAGAATTACAAATGTATCTAGGGACTATGAACAACTAATCCAAACAAAACAATATGGCACGTAAATAGTCTTCTCTTCTATACTGTCAACTGTAGGTCAGCACCCAATGAAACAACAGAGAATTCTAGAAGTAAATTCCTGCCTCAAGGGATGGCCATCAAGAGAACTTGGTTTATACATGCTACTGGAAAGGCTTCTGGCAAGAGATGGGCTGCACCTCACAAGGACTGGGAAGAATGTTTGGAAAACAAATAGCTCAGCTCATCAGAAAGGCTTTAAACTAAAAAGGGAAAGGGAGGGAGACCAATCTTTAAGACCAAACCTTAAGCATAAACCCCAACACAACAGATCAGACAATGAGGCAGGGAGCTGAGAAGGAAGGAGAACTCTGTTGTAAATCAGGAGACACAGAAAGCAAACATACAGTCAGTCATAAACAGCTCAGATTTTTTTTAAAAAAAATATTATTTAATTTGTATCCCACTTTTATTATTTTTACAAATAACTCAAGGTGGTGAACACACCTTACTCTTTCTTACTTGTTTCCACAGAAACAACCCTGTGAGATGTCTTGGGCTGAAAGAATGTGACTGGCCAAGGCCACCCAGCTGGCTTTCATGGCTAAGGTAGAACTTGAACTTATGATCTCCTGCTTTCTAGCCTGGTGCCTAAACCACTTGACCAAACTGGCTGAGATGCCCATATACTGATGCTCAGAGTTTGGGGAACAAACAGGGAGAACCTGAAGTCCTAGTACATGAGAGGTATGATATTGTTGCCGTTACCAAAACTTGATGTACTGCTAAAAGGATATCAACTGTTCAAAAGAAACAGACCCAAAAAAAGAGAAGGGGGAGTTGCACTGCATGTAAGGAATCAGTACACCTCTACAAAAACACACAATATGAAGATTGAATGCCCTCTTCAATGCACTTGGGTGAATGTTAAATGAAAAAGAGATGAAATTGCTATAAGTGTATACCATAGGCTACCCAACCATGGAAAGGAAGTAGATGAACAATTTGCCATTCAGTTAAACAAGATGTGCAGAAAACACATCACTGTAGTAACGGGGGACTTTAACTACACTACCATAAATTGGAAGGCAAACTTTGCTGCAAGATCAAACAGGCTCCTGACATGCCTAGCTGACAACTTTGTTATCCAAAAGGAAGAGAATGGAAGCAGAAGGTCAACTATACGGGACTTAATTCTTACTAATAGTAATGAAATGATAAAAGGGGTGGAAGTTATAGGAACTTTGTGGGACACTGAACATGTCATTCCAGAATTCAACATAATGCAGACACGGGCAATTGAACAAAGTAAAACTAGTGTTCTACTGTAGTCTTAAAGAGAGCCCACTTCAACAAACTAAGAGAGAGATTAGGAAAAATTTCATGGATGGGAATCCTAAAAGGAAAAACAACTGAAGATGCTTGGGAAACTGAAAAATGAGATTATTAAAGCCCAGTCAAACACAATACTATTGGGGGGGGGAAGAGAAAGAGAGACCTCAGACGAAACCAGCATGATTGCATAAAAGCCTTTGTAACAAACTGAGGGACAAAAAGGACAAGAAAGTGGGGCTCATAAATAGAACAGAATATCAACAAATAGCCCGAATCTACAAGAATGGAGTCATGAAAGCCAAGGGCCAGTATGAACTAAGACTTGCAACAAATGCCAAAAATAACAAAAATAATTTCTTTCAATATGCAATGGATAATAAAATAGGTCCACTAACGGGAGAAGTTGGCAACACGGTGACAAATAGTAGGGACAAAGATAAACTTAATTCCTTCTTCCTCCCTACAGGTAGGAGGGAGAAAGATCAGTTTAGGCCTCCTTTGCATCTGTCTTCATGCAAAAGGAAAAAATAGTACACCATAAGAAAGCAGGTCAAAAATAGGCATAAAATTAATAAGGAAACATCTTACCACTTTCGATGAATTCAATTTGTCAGGACCAGATAGTTTACATCAGTGGTGGGTTGCCCCCTGTTCGGACCGGTTTGCAAGAACCGGTAGTAAAACCAGCAGGAGCCTCCGCCCACCACCCCGGATGTCGTCATAGGTGATTTGCGCATGCGCACGCGATCCCATTGTGAACTGGTAGTAAAGGTAGTAAAGGTAACGCACCCCTGGTTTACATCTCAGTGTTCTGAAGGAGCTGGCAGATGTGTTCTCAAAACCAATTGAACAAAGAATCAGTTGAACAAAGATTTTGAATAGTTGAACAAAAACTTTGTTCGGTACAAAAATAATAACAACAAAAAGGCCCAGCCAGCGCTCTTCAAAAATGATTTCGATGAGGGAATAGAAAGCGAGCTAATCAAATTTGCAGTTGACAGCAAGCTGTGGGGAATTGCTAACAATTTGCAAGATAAAGATTCAGAAGAATCTAGAGAAATAGACCCTATTCAATATTCAGTGGCGAGAAAAGTAGGATTTAGGCAAGAAAAACCAAATGTAAAGGTATAGAATATGTGGTACCTGGCCAGGAGTGAAATTCAGCTGGTTCTATCCAGCTCCAGCAAACTGGTAGCGCCGGTGGTGGGAGGCTCCGCCCACCTACCTGAACATCATCACATCCCATTTTTGACCCTCTGTGCATGCGCAGAAGGCTCTGTGCATGCGTGGAGGAGGTGCGCATGCTCACATTTGCAAACTGGTAGCAAAGGTAAGTGAATTTCACCCCTGTACCTGGTTCAACAACAGTAACTGTGAGAGGGATCTAGATGTCCTAGTGGTCCATCACTTAAGTATGAGCCAGCAGTGTGCTGCAGCTGCCAGAAAAGCCAACACAGTTCTAGGCTGCTTCAACAGAGGAATAGCATCAAGATCACATGAAGTGTTAGTACTACTGTATACTGCACTGATGAGACCGCACTGATGAGACCACACTTGGAATAGTGTATTCCAGTTCTGGCCACAATACAAAAAAGTGCTAAGACCCTCGAAAGATTGCAGAGGAAACCAACAAAGATTATAAGGGGTCTTATAGCATGAAGCTGAGCAACATTTCAGAAATGCTAAATAAAAGCCAACAGGAAGAGCCTTGATAGTACAGTGGTCTACGCACCCTGTTATCAACACAGCTGCCTGCAGTTTACTGCTGGTTCGAATCTCTCCAAGGCTCAAGGTTGACTCAGCCTTCCATCCTTTCTAAGGTAGGTGAAATGAGGACCCAGTTTGTGGGGGCAATAAGCTGACTTTGTATAAATATACAAAAGTATGAAGGCTATTGCTTAACGCATTGTAAGCCGCCCTGAGTCTCCGGAGAAGGGCGGCATATAAATCAAATTTTAAAAAAAATGATTAAAATGTTATAATGGAGAAAAAAGTAATAATTCCCACTGCAATGATACTGAAAAGTGTAAAATATAATAACAAGAAAGTCATGTTGGTTGTCATGCTGGTTGTATAAACAGATGGACCAACACTTTGGAATCATGATTGGGTGAGGAAGGTGCTGCTGGTTTGTAGTTCCATCAATGACTTGTATAGTACTCTTCCCTATCATGAATATCACTGGGAGTAACTCAAAATGCTGTGCCTTGCTTCAAAAGAGGCATTAGTGCACTCACACACAGAAAATATAAAATAGTGTTACAGGAATACACTGGGTTTCATCAAGCATGTCTCAATATGCTTTCCATATATTCTAAACAAAAAGATAGAAACTGGAGAATTGAATGGAACCTGAAGGAATTAGTTCAATATTGATTGGAACCCAATCAATATATGGTTCCAGTAGATAAAAAGACTGGAATTATTAAGATTTGTGGTGATTTTAAAGTAAGCAATAATCTACTATTAATTCATTAGTCAATAACTCTTGCCTAGAACTTAAGATACTTTTGCCAACCTCTTACAGGAACTTTAATTTAACAATAGACTTTGCTGAAATTAATAAATGGAAGGAGACCCCAAGGCATTCTCAAGGGTTATATTATAATAGAACAGAATATTATTATATTATTTGTTTTTGGAATAGCATCTCTACCAGGGCTTTGGTAGACAACCCTGGACCAAATGCAACAAGGCTTTCCAGGAATCCCATAGTATTCAGATGACATTTGTTTATTTTATTTATTTAAAAGATTTATATAGCCGCCCATCTCATAATTAAATCTGGGCAGCTCCCATCATAAAATTTAGCTACATCATAGAGAAAATAATGAACTGCATCTGTAAAACCTCAAGACAACAACTGCAGAGATTTGCAGACTATACTGTTAAAGTACAACACATAAAACATGACTTTTTAATTGTGGTGGATATATGTTTAAAACAGCCAGATACTTTATGTTTCCAGCATTTTCACCAATGGTCACAAATATTGTATTGTGATAACTCCTTGAAAGAACAGGTTTTCTAGAACAGTTAGTGAATGACAATGGAAAATTTGTAGCCAACCAATACAATCGGTGTATGTTCCATTGTCACAATATCATTGGATGCACTAAGCATTCCCATTTGACCAAACAAATGTCAACACAATACTTCTATACATTAAAGTCTGTATATTCACAGAGAGGGATGTAGTATATTGGATTGTTATAACTGATAGATTAAGCATATCTGTGACCTTGCTTTGTTGTCTGATTACGGCTTGGATTATTTATATGTATTGTATTTCTTGACCGCTGGTTAGAGTGAGTTCTTCTAGAAATGTAATAAAACAAGCAGCAGAAAACCTGGTTACCCACTATCCTTTATTTGATAGTAAAAAAAGATTCAACAGGGAATAGTAACAATAAATAGTGAATCAGCTTCTTCCAACCCAGAGATAAATAGTTGCTCATTTTCCTTATATGACAATTGTTTCCAATGTCTTTTGGATGTACAATGGAGAACAGGTCTTGGAGTTTTAACTGAAATGAGTGTGAATGAATAGAATCATGTGGCTGCAAGCAAACAAGGAAACATAATCTTAGACTGCTTCAAGAGAAATATAGTTTCCACATGTTAGGAAGGGAAATTCATTTTCACTCCAGGTTTACCCCATAAGTAAGGAAGGTTTCCCCTCTCCAATCGTGTCCAACTCTAAGGGTGGTGCTTAGAGAGCCAGCATTGTCTGAAGATCCTTCCATGGTCATGTGACCAGCATGATTATACACCGAGGTATACAGAACACTGTTACCTTCCCTCCCTCATAAGTGGTATATATTTAACTCTTTGTATTTGCATGCTTTCAAACTGCTAGTTGCTAGAAGCTGGGGAAAGAATGAGTGCCTACCCCATCACACAGTGCTTGAGTCTCAAACTCCTGACCTTCCAGTTGACAAGCCCAGCTTCTTAACCACTAGGTCACCATGCCCCCTATAGGACCCCAAATAATGAAACTAACAATAAAAATAAATATCCATCAAGGAAAAAATATAACTAATGATATGAGGAAGTCAACAGGAGAATCAGTTCACTAGAACAGTGGTATAATCTGCTGAAATAGAGATGGAAAAGATATAGAATACTTTTCTATTGGGAATGCTTTAATTTGTGGTCCTATTGTAGAAAATGGCTGTACTTGGTGGTCTTAATGATCTCTTCTCACTGTATGAAATAGCTGTTATTTGTATCTTTTTCATTTTTTTTCTCACATCCTATGATTAATTGTTGAT